ACCGAAAAAAAAAAAAAAAAAAAAGGAAAGAAATTTGCTTTATGCTAATTTCCCCTTGATCTTCAGTGGCAGAAGCTCCTCACCGCTTGGCTCTGTGGCTGTTACTAACTGTTAGCAGCAACTCCAAGCCTGGGCCACTCCATCCCGCATCCCCCAGACACCTGCTCAGCCAACGCAGAGGTTCTCAGAACTGGGCACATCTGTGGGATATTCTTTGTCCAAAAAGTTTGTGTCCGTTAAAGATGATGTACAAAGACTCTGAAATCTTCCTAAAACTCCTTTTTACATATTTCTTTCAAATGTCTCCTTCCCAGTGTTTTAATAGTTAAAAAAAAAAGTTGTGCTGGATTTCTCTCCGTCCCTGCCACATGAAACGGCATTTTTCAGTCATTTTTCCTTGGGCCCTTCTAAGAAGGGTTATTGGGGGGAAAAAAAAAAAAAGATCCTGGCCTTTTGAGGACCTATCTTATCTGAGATACATTTCCAAAAAAAGGTCCTCCTCAAGCATGGGGCCAGCTGCTGGTGGTGTTTTTCGACTTCCGCCTCCTCGGTGGGGTCACTAAAGCATTCTCACCTCCAGTTTCTCCTGACTCTGCTCTTCCCAGCCATATCCACGAGGCAGCCAAACCACAGGCAGAAAGAGGCTGCCTGCCAGGGCTGACTAGCTAGGATTCCAAAGCCAGGGCTGCAGCAGGGCCCAGTGATGCCCAGCAGACGACAAAGTCACAGCTTGGTTCAAGGGTCAAGTCCTGCCCTGACCAGCAGCTTGACCTGAGGCAAGTTTTATCACCTCTCTGATCCCCAGTGACACAATCCTTTGCAGGGTTATTGCAGATGAAACGGAATGACAAATGCAGGGCCCCGACACAGGGATCGTGCACCATAATCAGTGCTGATCACGAGAGGCAAAGCCTGGACCCACAGGCCTAGCAGCACAAGAGGCCAGCCATAGATACAGACCTACTTCGGGATGGAGGAACCACTGCTCTAGGATGCTAAGCTTTGGATGCCCTGGGCTTGGTCCTTTGACCACTTCTCCATCTACCGTTCCCCTCTGGAATCTTCTCTCATCTCATGGCTTTAAACCACCAGGTGTGCTGACCTCAAACATGGGTCTCCAGCCCAGCTTCTAACATGAACTCCACTTCCCCAATAAAATGCAAATTTCATGGTGACAGAAACATTGTTTTGTTTTCATCTCCATCTTCAGCACCTAGAACAGCACCTGGCTCAGGTAGGGGCCCAGTAAATAGTTGCTGAGAGAACAAAGAATGCTATTAGTTGAACTTAAAACTCCTTTAAGAACGAAGAATAAGAAAAATTAAACAACCGGTAGTATTCAGGTGAAACTATCTGTCGTTTTTTAACATCTTTATTGAAGTATAATTGCTTTACAATGGTGTGTTAGTTTCTGCTTTATAACAAAGTGAATCAGCTATACGCATACATACTGTCCCCATATCTCCTTCCTGTTGTGTCTCCCTCCCTCCCTCCCTACCCCACCCCTCTAGGTGTTCGCAAAACACCAAGCTGATCTCCCTGTGCTATGCGGCTGCTTCCCACTAGCTATCTGTTTTACATTTGGTAGTGTATATATGTCCACGCCACTTTCTCACTTTGTCCCAGCTCACCCTTCCCGCCCCCCATGTCCTCAAGTCCATTCTGAAACTATCTGTTTTTATCCACGAGGGAAGAACAGAAGATTTTATCACACATCAGCAACTTCTCCGGAGCCTCGGGGTCCAGTGCCTTCCCTGAGCCTCAGGCACTGAGCGCTGGGTACCTTATCCCTGTGCAGTGCTGGGCTCAGAAACAAGGGCTCTGGGTTTGAATCCTGACTCTGGCACTTCCTAACCATGTGACCTTTGGTGAGAACTTCCCCCCTTATCTGTGCCTCAGTTTCCTCCTCTGCAAAGGGAGGAGGGTTGTGATGGTAGCCAAGCTGCTTGCAGGTCCTTAAGGTGGGACTTGAAATAAGCCAGGCGCTGAGAAACTGATTTACGTGCCATTAGCGGGAAGCTCCCGTGCTTACCTGCACATTTTTGTGGTTGAATTGAAAAGCTTCACTTTGTAGCCACTGTTGCAAATGAGCAGGAAGAGCTCCTTGGTAAGTGGCGGGTACCAGACCATACAGGTGGGGTAGCTGCCCTGGTCGGTTCGCTGAATGTCCAGGACTTCCAGGTGGTCTTTGTAGCTCTTGAGTAGATTATACTCGATCTACAGAGAAGCCCAGATGAATACGCATGAGGACTGAGGTGAACGAAGTCAGTCAACAGTCCTTTTCTGCGGAGAGACAGCATCAGGCCTTCTAGGAAAAGACTTGCCCAAACTTCTAATAAGCTACCAATACGGAGTATCCATTACGAGCAAGATGATGCCATTTAATACTCACGACTCCCCAGCAAAGCAGTACTGTTGTGCCCATTTTGCAGATGAGAAAACAGATGTTCAGAGAGGTTCAGTGGTTTCCCCAAGGTCACACAGCTAAGAAGTGGGAGGATGAGAATTCAAATCTAGGTCCAACTAACTCCAAAACCTGAACTCTTACAGTTATGTTGTACTGCTTCACTTATCATTATCTTGGGAACTTTTTGAGGGTAGGAACAAATTCATATATAAATCTCAGCACTTGACAGTCATAAACTAGCAGTCTGCTGAATTTCACACATATGTAGGCTTTGGTGGCCAGACCAGCATGGATGGACAGAAGGAAGGATGGATAGAATAAAGGAAGTAACAGGGGGAGGGAAGGAAGGAAGTTAAGATGGATGCACAGATAGATCGATTGATTTTGAATCTTTTGGCTCGATCATGTAATATTGCATTTGCCACTGTCTCTACCTTTCCCTCTGATATTCTCTGAGTTGTCACATTGAGGTAAAAGCCTGGCCCTGTCCCCTAGACACACAGAAAGTGTAAGTGTTGGCTTCGAAACATACACTGAGAGGCGAGGGTGGCTGAGATGTCGGTGCTGTGGGGAGTACCCCCACCCCGCCGTCAACGTGCCACTTCCCAGGAGCCTCCTTACTCAGGACACAGGTCCCTGTGTGGTGTCAGAGCTGTGTGAAGGCCAAGTGCCAACTCAGAAAGGTTTTCGCTACTTTGTCATACATGCATTTTCTCAAACAAACACAAGTACTGTGGGTCTGGTTCTGTGCCAGAAGCCAGGGAGGTAACGAGAATGAGACATGTTCCTGGTGACCAGGCAAAGGAAAATGAAACAGCTCACCAAGAGTCTGTCTCTCCCGAGGCTCAGCAGTCTCGGCTCATTGCTGTCCAGATGAACCCCGAACAGGACACTGCGAATGCTCTTGCGATGAGAACGAAGTCTTGCCAAATACTCCCAGACCCTTCGTCCATTTTTGACTCTCACCACGTAAACGGCCACGGTGAAACTTACATCCTGAGTATGAGCAAAAGAGCAGAAGTTGCTCCTTTTTAGATTTTGTTAACTTAAGAATCATCACTATGTTTTTCATACTAACTTTGCTTTTAGAAATTTTATGCAAAAGGAAAACCTTTGTCTATTGGAGCAAGGAGTAAAATAATGCCCGTTTTGCAGATGAGAAAATCAAGGTTCAAAGTAGGTAGGTGCGGGCAGGGAGAGACGGTATTTGTCTGACACTATTGTCTTACTCTCCTTGCTGGTCCCCACCTCATTCTCTGTTGGAAACTGAAACCCTGACTCTTTCTGCCTCTGTCCTCCCTTCTCTTTATCCGGCTACACAAAATTTTAAAAGGTACGATTAAAAAATATATACATGATGGCTGAGAGTGACAGGGGTCGGGGAGAGGGCGGGAGCAGCCTGAAGGGACCTGGGGCGCCTGAGTCAGTGTGCTGCTGGGAAGCGTGTAAGGGACAGAGGTTCAAGTGAAGCCGGCTGCTTCCCCGCACCCCACCCCATCCCCCAAGAGAACTGGCATGAAGGGAGAGGTTGGGGGGTCCCAGAAAAATCTTTACTGAGATTAAGAGCCCTATTCACAGAGGGAAGGACCAGAATCCGAAATGCTCGGTGGAAGACTCCGCTTAAATGAGAATGTCATCTCGTCAAAAATCAAAGGGAAAGATAAAACCCTGGATGCAGAGAAAGGGTTCCGAAAAACTAACAAACCAAAATGAGCTGTCAGAGTAGCAGAATCCAAGTCTGGAAGTTCTGAGGCCCTGGTCTTGTTTTCAGGCAGAAGTCCCCCCACTTCCCCCACCCCTTTCTCCTTTTATAACAGCTTTATTGAGATATAATTCACCTCCCACACAATTCACCCACTGGAAGTGTACAGTTCAATGGGCTTTAGTATATTCAGAGCTGTGCATCCATCATCACAGTTTTAGAACACTTTCATCACCTCCAAAAGAAACCTGTACCCTCTAGCAGCTACTCCCCATCCCCCCTAACTCCCAGCCCCTCCCCCTTGTGGCTTTAAATAAGGTTGCTGAGCCCCTGGACGGCACTCAGTGAAAATACTCACAGCGGTCGCCATATACTGGGAGTCATGGGAGAAGCTGACGTGAGTCACACTGGTTCTGGAATATTTGAAAGGCTCTGGGGTTTCACTTTCTAAGGACATTGCATCAAGAATGTAAACGGTCCCTTCTGTGAAGCCAGCTCCGAGGAGAGCTCCTGAAATCACAAGCCAGAGAACAATGATCGAAAAGGACTTCATTCACTCAAGAAACATCGACTCCACGCCAGACCTTGTTCTACGTGCCAAGGAGACAGCAACGAACACAACAGACAAGGTCCTGAGAAGGAGAAGTAAACTGGAAAGCATGGCATCGTGGGATGAGACCAGGCGGTACGGAGCTCTGCAGCGTCCAGGGGGAGAAGGCGTCCCATCTGGCCTGGTGTGGGGAGAGGGTCAAGGTAACCTTCCTGGAGCTGTGACAGCCAAGGGATTAGCCATTTGGATCTGTTTTCAGTTTAAAACCTAAGACAGGCTGACAAAATGAAAATACCTTCGGGGTTGTAGGTCAGACTCTGGACTCCAAGCCCCTTCTCAAAGATCCTGCTGAACAGGTATTTTTTCTGTTCATAATCCCACACTTTGATCATCCCACAGAAACTCCCGATGGCAATGAGGGGTTGGTACGGGTGGCAGGAGATGGCACAAATGGCATCCTTGGGCTCTACAAATAACTTCTCAAGTTTGGTCCCATCTGCTGTTAAGTGGTACACTGACGCATCCGACGTTCCAATGATAAAATTCCTGTTTGCCAAGGAGAGACCCAACAGCATCAGTGTTTGCAGGGAATGGGGCACGCCAGCTATTCTGCTGCTAATTGCACATGAAACGCCTCTGTCGTCTGTAATTTAGTGACATTATTAACCCAACATCTCCAAAAATATACCACCAATACCCAACAGCCTCCATTTGCAAGTGAAAAAGCCCACATTTCTACATGTAAATTGAGTCATTAAGTATGCAGATGGACAGTCAGTTGTACAATTAGCTAATCTGCACATGCAAATATTCATTTGTGTATGCAAATATGGAGTTTGGTGCACACATACAGATGTGCCTGCAAATACCACAAGGGTAATTAAGCAGACTCACAGATAATTCTGTCTTGAAATCTTATGGCTATTAACTATCAAATCCCTTTAACTGTAGTGCTAGGACAAACTCAGCTTCGAGAAAGGAGACCAACCTACAGCGAAGGACTCCAGAGGCAACAGAGATTAGAGCCCTTTCCAGCTTCCCACCACTAGACACTCTTAACAGGAGAATGATGTTTCACTTAAAAAATCGATTAAATAGTGATTGTGACCAGCCAAGGAGATCCGTCTGCAAGGCAGGTAAAGGACTGACTAGGGAGGCCAGTACCCTCGAGTTCACATCCCAGGAATAGGAAGAAGATCCCACTGTACACAAACTAAAAGTAGACATCACTTTTTGACCATGCAAATGTTGAGATTCATTAACAACTCACCTTACAATAAAAAGGTCACCTTTTAAAGTGTAGTCTGGAGGATAGTTTGTATTTTCAGTCGGAGGAGTTGCCGGGGTCTTTGAGAAGGACAGGCTCCTTATGGAGCTCAGTTTGAAGTGGCTGTACCAGTTCACAATGGACAGGGTGTGATCGTAGAACTTGATGTTACCCCGAATGTCACCTGTGACAACATAGCTGAAATGGAGAATAACGTCGGTTTGTTAAATAATGGTAATGAGTACCATCTATTGAACACCTAATTATATGTCAGCCCCTGGACTCCGGGCATTGTAAAAACTTTCACTTAATACTGCCCTGGGCTTCCCTGGTGGTGCAGTGGTTAAGAATCCACCTGCCAACGCAGGGGACACGGGTTCAAGCCCTCTTCTGGGAAGATCCCACATGCTGCTGAGAAACTAAGCCCATGTGCCACAACTACTGAACCTGCGCTCTAGAGAGGCCGCAAGCCACAACTACTGAAGCCCGCGTGCCTGGAGCCTGTGCTCCACAACAAGAGAAGCCGCTGCAGTGAGAGGTCCGCGCACCACAATGAAGAGTAGCCCCCACTCGCCGCAGCTAGAGAAAGCCTGCACGCAGCAGCGAAGACCCAACACAGCCAAAAATAAAAACAAATAAATAAATTTATTTAAAAAAAAATATTGCCCTATGTGGCTGATTTTACTGTCATCCCAGTTCACATCTAGGAAACTTAAGCCTCAAGGCCTCAGATTGCCAGATTTAGCAAATAAAAATGCAGGATACCCAGTTAAATTTGAATTTCAGATGAACAATGAGTAAATTTTTAGAATAAGTATGTCCCATATATTGCATGGTCCCAAATGCAGTTGCCCCATGCAACATTTGGGATGTACATAAACCTGGCAACCCTATCAGGGCCACGTGGCTAGGCTATGCAGGGATCCAGGTGTATCTTATGCAAAGTCCATGCTCTCTGCTCTCCTCTTCCCTGCCCGGCAAGATCAGCCCCATGCAATGGCAGTGGGCAGTGATTTACATCCTCTGCCGTAAGACTACAGATGACAACAGAGTCCATCAACCATTCCTCTGAAATCACGCAGGCTGGCAACGAGATACAGGAGGACACTGCTGTGAGAGCAATCGATTGTAAAACCCTGTCCAGTCACCACAGCCAAAGGCAGTGCTGCGTGACAAAACAGCTTTTATTTCCAGTCCTCAGAGCCATCCCAAATGAGCTTGTTTTTTTTTAAAGCCTCTGACATAATTCTAATCATGGGGGGCGGGGGGGAGGTGTGGGATGAATTTTCTCTTATATACGCAAAGTGATTAAATGAGGTTTCTGATTAATAAGCAAGGCAGGTGGGCCGAGTAATTGGCGAGAATGTCATTCACAGCCCTCTGCTGGACAGAAATGGCAAAACAAGCCAAGTGTTTTCTGAGACCTTTTCCAGCAAGGGCTCTGGGGTCCTGGCTGGGTTTTATTTAACATGGAGAAAAGGAAACCCAGGCCTGGTCTTCCCTGGGTCCTAACCCCCAACAATTAAAAGTTGATTGCATCATCAACTGCAATTCTACTACTGTCTTTTCTCATCAAGTGAGTGAAGATGACGATTTGCATTTGTCTTTGTAAAGCCATGCCAGGACCTCACTGTTCCTCTGTATTAAAAGAAAGGGACAAGAAAGCAATGGGCTTCTGGGAAGCAGATGGCACAGTGACTCCAACCATGGGGCAGGGTTCTTGTCACGAGGCAATCATCTCCAGCACACTGATAATGGCTGTTTTACCTAGAGCTCCCCTGTACCAGATGACATGCTAAGAGTTTTACAAGGCTTGGGAATTCCCTGGCGGTCCAGTGGTTAGGACTCAGAGCTTTCACTGCCGGGGCCAGGGTTCAATCCCTGGTCAGGGAACTAAGATTCCGCAAGCCATCCTCACAAAGTCACTCTGGAGGGACAGTATTGTTATGCCTACTTTACAGATGGAAGACTGGAGGCTCAGCACATTTAAGTCCCTTGTCCAAGGTCACTTGGCAAGGAAGGGATGCATCTGGCAATGTGAACCCCTTTACGTCTGAGGCTAAGGCATAAGGCTTAGATCATCTATGTGCTCCCGCAGCCTCTCAAAATCAAAGACTTAGGGAACTTTATAAAGTTATGTTGTGGTTCATCTTTTCATGAGGGGTAAATGTTATTCTGTAATCAGAAAAAAATATATAGCTATTTATGTCCTTTTCTTAAATTTAAAGTATGGGCAAAATAAGTATAATTAGGGCAGAAGAAAAAAAATTAGTTACTTTTTGTTTCACCAACACAAAAGGATTGTTAAAAGTAATACATGCCTGGGACTTCCCTGGTGGTGCAGCGGTTAAGAAGCCACCTGCCAGTACAGGGGACACGGGTTCGAGCCCTGGTCCGGGAAGATCCCACATGCCGCAGAGCAACTAAGCCCGTGCACCACAACTACTGAGCCTGCGCTCTACAGCTCACGAGCCACAACTACTGAAGCCCGCGTGCCACGACTACTGAAGGCCGTGTGCTCTAGAGCCCATGCTCTGTAACAAGAGAAGCCACCACAATGAGAAGCCTGTGCACCGCAATGAAGAGTAGCCCCCGCTCACTGCAACTAGAGAAAGCCTGCGCGCAGCAGCAAAGACCCAACGCAGCCAAAAATAAAATAAATAAAATATTAAATTACTATAAAAAAAAAGTAATACATGCCCATGATTCTTTTTTTTAAAAAAGCAAACCAATCAGTACAAAGTACATGCCCATGATTCTTTTTTTTAAAAAAGCAAACCAATCAGTATGAGACTATAAAAAGAAGTAAATCCACCCCCACCCTTGATCCTAGCTCTCAGTTCTTTTCCTCAGAGGCAGCCAGCGTTTCCAGTTAATTGGCTCTCCCCAGAAACAATCTATGCATATACAACATACGTGTATACCTCCAAAAGGGTTTTAAAATAATTTTATAATCATCTATAGCTACTTTTTAATTAATTAAGTACCTGTCAACTGTAGTTAGCACAGTGATACCCTCCTTCTGCAAATGAACCAGTTTACAAGGTGTGATGTGGGGAAAGCCCAAAGAGGTGGAGGCAGATGGCGGTGGGCGGTAAATGTCCCAGACAACCAGCTTCCCGTCCATTGTCGCCGACAGTATTTGGGTTAAATTCAAATGAAAGACTGACTGGCTAAATTTTCCCACGAGCTTGTTGAATGTCTGCATTTCAAGAGACAGGTTATGAGTTACCTTTGGTAGTAAATATAAAACAAAACATTTATCAACACGACGTTTTACAATGTTTTACCTAAATACAGTAGGAAAAAAATAAAGTAAAAAAGAAAAAAATCATTTAAAAAAACCCTCCCCCATGGATTGCCATGATCAGGCAGTTCTGAACCTCTGAAGGTTTGCTAAGAGCAAGTGAAGGGTTATATACTGGCTTAAACTGTTTGCTTAAAGCAAATGAAGGAGTGATTAATCATCGTTTATACCTGTTCAACTTCTCTTACTGAGGTTTCAGAGACTGATAAAGAAACTAATGTTTGTCGTGGACAAAGCATGCTCCAGCTATAAAACATTATAAAACAATTCTCTCAGTTTATTTTTGATCATAAATTATTTTCCCATCAGTGGAAATTTAAGTGCTGTACATAGAAATGCCCCAAGACTTCTTATTAAATGTGTGCTACGTAGGATAAGGCACTAGGCCATCTTTCTTAGAGAGTGTCTTAGAGATGAAGCATAGAAAGAACCCAGAGCACTGAGTGAACCCTCAGTGAATGTTTACTGAATGAATACATGAAGGAAACTCGGCGATCTGTCATATGATACAGTAAGTCTGCTGCCTGACTCTCTACTTAGGCAGAGAAGATCCTAAGGTGGACCTCTTTGACTTGAACACAAGAGGGTCAGTAGAAGCACAACTGGTCAAGCAAGGACATCATATTCTTTCTAAGAACAGCCCTGTTTCAACACGAGGCATTTTTATCATTTCAAACTGCAGCCGATCCTCATTCTTTGTGGATTCGGTATTTGTGAATTTACTTACTTTCTGATATTTATTTGTAGCCCCCAAGTCAATCCTCGTGGCACTTTCACAATCATTTGCAGATGTGTGCATGTGCCAAGTGGTGAAAAACGTGACATTCCCAGCTGAGGTCAAACAAGGCAACTCTGTGCCTTCTTGTTTCAGCTCTCAAACGAGAGACAAGTGTCCTTTTCCTAGCCTGTTTAATGTGATGTTCTAAATTTTTTTGGTGCTTTTTTTTTTTGTGTGTGTGGTACACGGGCCTCTCACTGTTGCGGCCTCTCCCGCTGCAGAGCACAGGCTCAGGATGTGCAGGCTCAGCAGCGGCCATGGTTCACGTGCCCAGCCGGCATGTGGGATCTTCCCGGACCGGGGCACGAACCCGTGTCCCCTGTATCGGCAGGCGGACTACCAACTACTGCGCCACCAGGGAAGCCCTTTTTGGTGCTTTTTGTTGGTGATTTTGGTATTTAAATTGGCTCCTGACTATGGTACTGAAATGCTGTCTAGTGCTCCTAAGCCCAAGAAGGCTGTGACGTGCCTTACAGAGAATACACCTGTGTTAGATAAGCCTCATTCAGACAGGAGTTCTATCTAGTGAGTCCAACATTAAGGAACCAACATTATATATTAAATATGGTGTCTTTAAACAGAAACATACATAAAACAAGGTCATGTATCTGTCAGTCGGTGAAAGTACTGTGACCCTAGGCTGGCAGGAGCCTATTCCTGTATCTCTCCTAGGAGCAATGATTCAGCATCCGCTAATTCAGGTCTACAGAGACCTTACAGAACATAACTGCTGCAAATAATGAGAACTGACTGTATTTTTTTTTTGATACTTTGATGTATGAAAAGCAAAGTTTGCAGACAGGATAATCTTGCCTTGTGTCCATCGTCTTTTGGCATGCCCTCTTGAAAAATAAAGTTTTATTGGTCAAACCAAAGGTGAAGAAGGGAAGCAGAAAAATCATTGTCAGCTGCACAGTGAGAGCAGGTTATGTGAGTATCAAAAGCAGAAACTGCTGCAGGAGACAGGACTGGAGGTCCACCTCAGGTGCAATCACTCAAGGAAAGCAGGAACGATAAAACGTTCCCCCCAACACCTGGCTCACCACCTTTCTACTGGCTCTGAAACATCTAAATACCCAACATCACCTTTTAAAAATGGTCCTATCGGGCTTCCCTGGTGGCGCAGTGGTTGACAGTCCGCCTGCCGATGCAGGGGACACGGGTTCATGCCCCGGTCCGGGAGGATCCCACATGCCGCAGAGCTGCTGGGCCCGTGAGCCATGGCCGCTGGGCCTGCGTGTCCAGAGCCTGTGCTCTGCAACGGGGGAGGCCCCCACGGTGAGAGGCCCATGTACCGCAAAAAAAAAAAAAAAAAGGTCCTATCTATCTATCTATCCATCCATTGACTTATTTTTGGCCCTGCGTCTTTCAGGATCTTAGTTCCCCCACCAGGGTTGGAACCCATGCTGCCTGCATTGGGAGCACCGAGTCTTAACCACTGGACCGCCAGGGAAGTGCACCCAGTATCATTTTTATTGCTCTGAAAACTGAGCAGCTTAAAGGGATCCACTCATGTTCAACTGCTTTACTTATTTCACCCCAAATTAACTTTCATCTTTTGTCATGTGCACACATACATTATAAAAATCATCACTTTCTTGGGTATTTTCTCATGGTAGTAAACTTTCTTTGCCATTTATTTATTTATCTATTTTTAAAATATTTATTTGGCTGTGCTGGTTTTTAGTTGCGGCCCGAGGGATCTTTGCTGCCACGTGTAGGATCTTCAACTGCGGCATGCAAACTCAGTTGCAGCATGCAGGATCTAGTTCCCTGACCAGGGATCGAACCCAGGTCCCCTGAATTGGGAGTGCAGAGTCTTAGCCACTGGACCACCAGGGAAGTCCCTGCCATTTATTTTTATCCATATTATTTTGAACAATCCGTCCATTATTTTTAACTGGCCATTCAGTATGGTAAAGGACCTAAGTAAAAATTTCAAATTATTTTGCAATATAAAGATACATACAAAGAGAAGCCCAAAATGACTAAGCTGACACACACATATTTATTCTCCACAGTCAGACGTAAAAAAAAGCACAACAGGCATACTCACTTTTTCTGTTAAAAGTGGGGCACTGTGAACAAGTATATCTCCCTCTTCATACTGATAAGCACAGAAAAAAAAATCACTACTAAAAAAAGACTTGGTTTCCAAAAGAAGAGCTACATAACAGCAAAAATCAAAACAAATGCATCTGAACAGCGTCAGAGCTTTGCAATTTCTACAGGTAGGATAACCTGCTGTCTCTAGGGACATCTAGAAACATTCTGAAAAAAAAGTAAATACATAAAAAACGCCACAAATGATTGTGATTAAGTGGTAGTTAATGCAAATCTGAATTCTACATTTATAAGGCTTTGAAGCTATAATTAATACCTGAAGGAATGAATATCACTGAAAATCAGCAATTCAAAGCGTTTTTGTTTAGCATTTTTTTTATTGAGGAAAATTCACTTAATATAAAATTAACCATTAACCCTTTTAAAGTGTAAAATTTAGTGCCATTTAGTACATTAACAATACTGTGCAACCATCATTCCCTCTAGTTCCAGGACACTTTCGTCAGCCCAAAGGAGGGCCTCTATCCATTAAGCAGTCACCTCCCATACCCCCCAGCCCCTGACAACCACCATTCTGATTTCTGTCTCTATGAATTTACCTATTCTGGACAGTTCATATCAATGGAATTATAGAGTATGTGGCTTTTTGTGTCTGGCTTCTTTCGTTCAGCATAATGTTCTAAAGGTTCATCCACGGTGTGGCAGGCGTCTGTACTTCATTGCTTTTAATGGCTCAATAATATTCCATATATGGATAGACCACATTTGGTTTATCCATTCATTAGTTGATGGGCATTTGATTTGTTTCTACCTTTTGATTATTGTGAATAATGCTGCTGCTATGAACATTTGTGCATAAGTATTTGTTTGAACACCTGTTTTCAATTCTTTGGGGTATATACCTAGAAACTGGTGGGTCATATGGTAATTTTATGTTTAACTTTTGATATTTTTTTAATCTCATGATTTTTCCCTGTGTCAGTATACATATGACCAATCTGTTTGTTAATTCCTTTTTGAAAGGGAATAAAGTCCAAGATCTTGAAAAACCCTTGATCTTGAATATATTTTAGACCTTAAATATATTCACATAAATATTTGCCACATTACTTTAAAAACTTAAATGAAATTTAAATTATCTGCTTCTGATTTAATATGCTAATTTCCAATGGGACTAAAATAAATGCTATAATTAAATCAAAACATTTTAATATATGTTTATTGCTTTCTAAGTAGATACTATATTGTTACATTACCAAAAGGTCTGTACTTAAAGAATAAACACATACTTGTTTATACATTTAAAACAAATGAAAATATTTCTACTTACCCACATATAATATATTGCTTGTGTTTTACTATTGCTCACCAATTCTTTATTATTTGTTGGATTAAAAGTAAGGTAGCTCTGAAATATAAAGTATGAAAATATGTTACATTATAATACATTTTCTGTTTCTCTCTGGTTAAGCTGAATGTTAAAGTTAAATTATTTTATTTTATTTTTTTTGCAGTACGAGGGCCTCTCACTGTTGTGGCCTCTCCTGTTGCGGAGCACAGGCTCCAGACACGCAGGCTCAGTGGCCATGGCTCACGGGCCCAGCCACTCCGCGGCACGTGGGATCTTCCCAGACCGGGGCACGAACCCATGTCCCCTGCATCGACAGGGGGACTCTCAACCACTGCGCCATCAGGGAAGCCCTAAATAATATCTTTAATTAATAACTGAGTAGGAATATAAAACAGAAAAGACATGGGGGATTTCCCTGGTGGTCCAGTGGTTAAGACTCCACACTTCCACTGCAGGGAGCACAGGTTCAGTCCCTGGTCAGGGAACTAAAAGATCCCACATGCCTCGTGGCATGGTCAAAATAACAAAAACAAACAAACAAAACAAAAAAACAAGAAAAAAAAAAAGACATGGCATTTTGTAAGCAATAGGAATATAATTTAAATACTGAGTGTTAAAATTAATGGTCTCAAACGTGTTTCCTTTCTTATTTAGTCTTATTTATTATAATTCATCATCTATAAATTGGAGCAAGCAAAAGTAAACTAGTATATTCACCAATAACCTTTATTCTGTGTCCTTTTGGACAAAGACTGCTGTGTATTCATTTCTAAATTTAACAGGGCCACAAGGGAACTTGGAATGAATGCAAAATATTGGAAGGGGGTTCTGATTCCTGCCAAGATGGTGTGTAGCATGGGTTGCCTGGCTCCCTCCCCAAAAATCAACCCTGCAGACACTATAGAAGTGAAGGAAACCTGAAATGCAGAAACTAAGTAACAAGTGAGAAATCCCTGGGGAGACAAGGCATAAGTCTTGAAATGATATATGCATGGGAGGCGGGCAGCTGCAGCCTGACATGGAGGGCTGCAGGAGACAGATGAGAGATGGGTTGGAGAAATGCTTCGTTTGTTTTTTAAAGATTTTTTTGGATGTGGACCATTTTTAAAGTCTTTATTGAATTTCTTACAATATTAATTCTGTTTTACATTCTGGTTTGTTGGCACTGAGGCATGTGGGATCTTAGCTCCCCAACCAGGTACCAAACCCGCCCTCCCTGCATTGGAAGGTGAAGTCTTAACCACTGGACTGCCAGGTAAGTCCCAAGAAATATTTTTTTTTCTTTGATTTTTTTTTCCATCTTTATTGGAGTATAATTGCTTTACAATGTTCTGTTAGTTTCTGCTGTATAACAAAGTGAATCAACGATATGCATACATATATCCCCATATCCCCTCCCTCTTGCGTCTCCCTCCCACCCTCCCTATCCCACCCCTCTAGGTGGTCACAAAGCACCAAGCTGATCTCCCTGTGCGATGCAGCTACTTCCCACTAGCTATCTATTTTACATTTGGTAGTGTATATATGTCCATGCCACTCTCTCACTTCGTCCCAGCTTACCCTTCCCACTCCCCGTGTCCTCAAGTCCATTCTCTACATCTGCGTCTTTATTCCTGTCCTGCCCCTAGGTTCTTCAGAACCATTTTTTTTAATCCATATATATATGTTAGCATATGGTATTTGCTTTCTGAGAAATGCTTTTTAAGTTCCATTCCTGCCTCTCCCACCCCATGTCCTATTCCTTGCCTGTTGACTGCTGCCTCATTTCAGGAATGTAAACTACCAATGCCAATGTCAGATGATCAATTTCAGGACAACACAAAGGCCTGGGTGGGGTGAAGAACTGGTGAAAGCAAGTGCATGGATCAGGCCTCACAAAGGCTGAAAATCAGCCTCAAATCACCTCAATCTCTGATTAGACCGAGGCGACCACTTTGCCAAAGGCCTCTAAGAAGCGAAAGTAAGTCTTCCTTGGAGTAAGTTATTATCAACCTGAGCCTCAAATTATTCCTATGCTTTTTAAAGCACAACATCTAGCATTCAATGAAAAACAACCAGGCATAGGCAAGAGACATGTCCAAATGACTGAAAAACAAGGGAGAAAAGTAATCTACAGAAAGAGACCCCCAGGAGATCCAGGTTTTTTATGGCTGAGTAGTATTCCATTATATATATGTACCACATCTTCTTTATCCATTCATCTGTTGATGGACACTTAGGTTGCTTCCATATCTTGGTAATTGTAAATAATGCTGCTACGAACACTGGGGTGTATGTATCTTTTTGAATTAGTGTTTTTGTTTTTTTTCAGATATATATCCAGGAGTGGAATTGCTAGGTCATATGGAAGTTCTATTTTTAGTTTTTTGGGAAACCTCCATATTGTTTTCCACAGTGGCTGCACCAAGTTACATTCCCACCAACAGTGCACGAGGGTTCCCTTTTCTCCACATTCTCTCCAATATTTGTTATATTGTGGTCATTCTGATAGGTGTGAGGTGATATCTCACTGGGGTTTTAATTTGCCTTTCCCTGATGATCAGCAATAAGATAACTCTATTTTTTTAAAAAAATCAAGTGGAACTTCTAGATCTGAAAAAAAAATGGTTTAAAAAACACAAAATGGAAATTGAGTTATTTTTAGTGAGGTGGATGGACATAGAGTCTGTCATACAGAGTGAAGTAAGTTAGAAAGAAAAAAACAAATACCGTATGCTAACGCACATATATGGAATCTAGAAAAATGGTACTGATGGACCTAGTGGCAGGGCAGGAGTAAAGATGTAGATGTACACAATGGACTTGACAACACAGAGGGGGAAGGGGAAGCTGGGACGTAGTGAGAGAGTAGCATCGGCATATATACACTACCAAATGTAAAATAGATAGCTAGTGGGAAGCTGCTGCACAGCACAGGGAGATCAGCTCAGTGCTTTGCGACGACCTAGAGGGGTGGGATAGGGAGGGTGGGAGGGAGGCTCAACAGGGAGGGGATGGGGGATACTAACACAACATTGTAAAGCAATTATACTCCAATAAAGATGTATTAAAAAAAGTGAATAAAGCATAGGGTGGGAGAAAAATAAATAAAAATAAAGAATAAAAAACAAAGAACCTCCCTGGTAGCACAGTGGTTAAGAATCCGCCTGCCAATGCAGGGGACACGGGTTCAAGTCCTGGTCTGGGAAGATCCCACATGCCGTGAAGCAACTAAGCCCGTGCACCACAACTACTGAGACTGTGCTCTAGAGCCCATGAGCCACAGCTACTGAGCCCGCATGCCACAACTACTGAAGCCCGCGCGCCTAGAGCCCATGCTCTGCAACAAGAGAAGCCACTGCGATGAGAAGCCCATGCACCACAATGCAGAGTAGCCCCCGCTCGCCACAACTAGAGAAAGCCCATGCGCAGCAACGAAGACCCAATGCAGCCAAAAATAAAATAAAAATAAAAAATAAATAAATTTGTTTAAAAAGAAAAGAATCCGCCTGCTAGTGCAGGTTCGAGCCCTGGTCCAGGAAGATCACACATGCCGTGGAGCAACTAAGCGTGTGCGCCACAACTACTGAGCCTGCACTCTAGAGCCCACAAGACACAACTACTGAGCCCACGTGCCACAACTACTGAAGCCTGTGCGCCTAGAGCCTGTACTCCACAACAAGAGAAGCCACCACGATGAGAAGCCCGCGCACCACAACAAAGACTAGCACCCACTCGCTGCAACTAGAGAAAGCCCGCACGCAGCAACGAAGACCCACGGCAGCCCAAAAATAATAATAAAAATAAATAAATAGGGCTTCCCTGGTGGCGCAGCGGTTAAGGATCGCCTGCCAATGCAGGGGACACAGGTTCGAGCCTTGGTCCGGGAAGACCCCACATGCCGCAGAGCAACTAAGCCCGTGCGCCACAACTACTGAGACTTCACTCTAGAGTCCGTGAGCCACAACTACTGAAGCCCGCGTACCTAGAGCCCGTGCTCCACAACAAGAGAAGCCACCGCAATGAGAAGGCCGTGCACTGCAACGAAGAGTGGCCCCCGCTCTCCTCAACTAGAGAAAGCCCATGCACAGCAACAGAGACCTAACGCAGCCAAAAATAAAAATAAATAAAAATTTAAAAAATAAACAATACATCTTTAAAAAAAAATTATGTTGGGTGAAAGAAGCCAGAGCCCTCCACAAAGAGTCTATTTCATAAAATTCATTAAAATATGCAAAGTAACATTAATAAACAGGAGAGTTGATGTTGGGAGATGGATAGAGGGAAGAGATCATACCTTGAAGGCCATAGTGAGGAGTCTGGGTTTTATTCTAAGGACAAGGGAAGGCATTGAAGGATTCTGAGTCAGGGAGTGATATGATATAATCCGTTTTGCTTATTTAAAAAATATTACTCTGGGGCTTCCCTGGTGGCGCAGTGGTTGAGAGTCCGCCTGCTGATGCAGGGGACACGGGTTCGTGCCCCGGTCCGGGAAGATCCCACATGCCGCGGAGCGGCTGGGCCCGTGAGCCATGACCGCTGAGCCTGAGCGTCCGGAGCCTGTGCTCCGCAACGGGAGAGGCCACAACAGTGAGAGGCCCGCGTACCGCAAAAAAAAAAAAAAAAAAATCACTCTGACTGCTGTGGGGAGATTGGCAAGGGTGCAGCAGGGTGCAGTAGAGATTAGCTGGGAGGATGCAGAGGTCATGCAGGCAGAGGTGACTGTGGTCTGGACTAGATGGTGGCAGTGCAGACAGCGAGGAGAGGAAGGAGTCCAGCATCGACCTTGGAAATAAATGGTACTTACAGCCATTGGGATGAGATACCCAAGAAGCAAGCATGGCAAGAAGAGGAAGAGGCAGAAGAAGAACTCCCAGAACCAAACCCTGAGGAACGCCAAGATTTAGAAGGTGTAAAATGAAAGAAGAAGCCACAAAGGAACCTGAGAAAGAACGGCCGGGGAGACAGCAGGAGAAGCGTCTTGTGACCCCACTGGGAAGGGTGTGATGAGGGTTCAACAATGTCCGTTTGATTTGGGAACCCCAGTGACCGTGATAAGCATAGTTCTGATAGAGCTGTGGGTGGGTGGAGGACAGATGAAAAGAACAGAAATGTCCATCAACAGAGGATGGATAAATAAGTTGTGTGACACTCAAAGAACAAAAAACTGTACAGCAGTGAAAGTGAATAGGAATTACAGCTCAAGAATCGACATCAGTGAATCTCAGAAACAATGCTGAGCAGATGAAGCAATTAGTCTGATTCCAAACATAGAAAGGTCAAGAACAGGTAAAATGAAAGAAGACAGTATTGAAGGATACATACATCACTGGGGAAAAGTATAAAGAAAAGCACAGGCAGGTATAACACAAAATTTGGGATAATGGTTAACTCGGGCGCAAAGCTTGGGATGAGATCGGGGAGGGGAACACAGGGGTTTCTAGGGTTTCGGTAACATTCTATTTCATGATCCAGTGGTGAGCACACAGGTACATTTTATTTCTTCCTTAAAATGTACACATTTTGCATGTATGCCTTATTTAGCAATAAAGTGTAAAGAAGTCAACTATTTCTTGCAAAAAAAAAAAAAAAGTAAATGAGACGAGGAAGTAGAGAAAGCAAGTGTGGACAGCGCTTCTGAGAAGTTTCCCTGGGAAGAGGGGCAGAGGGCGTAGCTGGAAGGAGACGTGGGGTCGGAGGAGTTCTCTCAGGACCGGTGGTCCTGAAGCGTGTTTATTCTCAGTAGAGGGAGAGTTGACAACTGCAGGAGAAGGGCCCTGAGGCAGCCAGCGGTGTGGGGGGGATCTAGTGCGCTGGCCCTTCGCCGCAGTCAGAGGGGAAAAGAGAAGATGGCGGGGTTGAAGGTGTGTTGCAGGCTGGGGAGGGAGAACAGGCCCGTGTTTGTATCTGATGGCTTCCATTTTCTCAATGAAACACGGGGTTGAGGGCGGTCACCCGCTGAGCATGGGAAGCAGGGAGTGGGGAGGTGGGATGAGCAGGTGTGAAACTGTCGTCTCTGGAAATGAAAAGTGTCACAGCCGACCAGAGCGGCCAAGCCAGGCCCAGAGCCATCTTGAAATTCGTGACTGAATTGCAAGTAGGATGAATCCGCTGGATTGGGTGCTTCTCCCCAGCTACATTCAGCCCACGGGGGTCCAGGTCCAGAGGAGGCTGAGGGTGGGGCTCACCCAGAGCTGGGGGGGCTTGTGTGGTGCTGTCCAGCAGCACTTCCCGTTGGGGTGGAGGTGTTCTAACACCTGTGCTGCCAACAATGTAGCCACCAGCCGCATGTGGATAATGAGTGGCTGAAATGTGGCTAGTGAAGCCGAGGAAATGAATTTGTACTTTAACTTCAATCAATTTCCATTTTTGTTTGTTTGGGTCACGCCACACGGCTTGTGGGGATCTGAGTTCCCCAACCAGGGATTGAACCTGAGCTCCCTGCAGTGTAAATGCGGAGTCCCAACCACTGGACCGCCAGGGAATTCCCGAAATTTCAACAGCCATGTGTATTTAGCAAAGTTGCAATATAGAAATCAGTTGAAGTTCTATACACTAACAATGAACATTCTGAGAAGAAAATTAAGAAAACAATTCCACTTAATAATAGCATCAAAAAAAATACTTAGGAATAAATTTAGCCAAGGAGGTGAAAGATTTGTACGCTGAAAACTACAAAATGCTGCTGCTGCTGAAAGAAATTAAAGAAGACGTAAATAAACAGAAAGACAGGGGCTTCCCTGGTGGCGCAGTTGTCAAGAATCCACCTGCTGGGAGATCAGCTGGGTGCTTTGTGACCGCCTGGAGGTGTGGGATAGGGAGGGTGGGAGGGAGGGAGACGCAAGAGGGAAGAGATATGGGAACATATGTATATGTATAACTGATTCACTTTGATATAAAGCAGAAACTAACACCATTGTAAAGCAATTATACTCCAATAAAGATGTAAAAAAAAAAACAAAGAATACGCCTGCCAATGCAGGGGACACAGATTCAAGCCCTGGTCCGGGAAGACCCCACATGCCACGGAGCAACTAAGCCCGTGCGCCACACCTACTGAAGCCCGTGTGCCTGGAGCCTGTGCTCCGCAACAAGAGAAGCCACCACAATGAGAAGCCCGCGCACCGCAACAAAGAGTCGCCCCCGCTTGCCACAACTAGAGAAAGCCCGCATGCAGCAACAAAGACCCAACACAGCCATAAATAAATAAATAAGTAAAATAAATCTATTAAAAAAGAAACAAATAAAATAAACAGAAAGACATCCATGCTCCTGGACTGGAAGACAATCCTGTTAAGATGACACGACTACCCAAAGCAATCTATAGATTCAATGCAATCTCTATCAAAATCCCCAATGCATTTTTGGTAGCAATAGAAAAACCCATCCTAAATACCCAGGTATGGCTGGTAGCTTTGAGAAGTAAGGAAATTGTGGGGGGCACTTCCCTGGCGGTTCAGTGGTTAGGACTCCGCGCTTTCACTGTCAAGGGTGCAGGTTTGATCCCTGGTCGGGGAACTAAGGTTCCACAAGCCATGTGGTGTGGCCAAAAAAAAAAAAAAAAAACAAGGAAGGAAATTTTTTTGAGGGAGCAGAAGGAATGTTGGCAGAGGGAGAGCAGGAGAGACATAAAGCTGATAATGATGTGTGCCTTGCTGAGTCCAGTCACCCAGACCCCCTGCTTGGGTTCTGGTTCACACAAGCCATGTACATCCTTACCACAGTGTCTGGTACACAGTAGGTACTCAATAAATGCAGGTGAATGACGGCTGCGAGCATGAATGAGACGATGCAGAGCAGCACAGTCAATGCTCTGGGTGCCCTCGGCAAGTCACCTCACACAAATCAAGAATAATAACTCCCCTATAATAAGAGCAGTTCAGAACATGCTTCTAGAATAAGAAAGGCTGCTAGCTGGGTGACTTTAGACCAGTTATTTGATAGTTAATCGTAGTAATATGAATCCCACAGTAACATCTTCTCAGCATGTTTGCATGGGTTACATGAGATATTGTATGCAAAGAACTTAGCACAATCTGGCACATAAGAGGTGATCAAAAAAATTAGCAGAGCTTCCCTGGTGCAGTGGTTGGGAGTCCGCCTGCCGATGCAGGGGATGCGGGTTCGTGCCCCAGTCCGGGAAGATCCCACATGCCGCAGAGCGGCTGCGCCCGTGAGCCATGGCCGCTGAGCCTGCGCATCTGGAGCCTGTGCTCCGCAGCGGGAGAGGCCACAACAGTGAGAGGCCCGCGTACCGAAAAAAAAAAAAAAATTAGCTATTATCATCAAAAATAAAATGAGATCATGGACAGGAGTTTTTTAAAAGCTCTTGGGCACCATAACACAGCTCCAGTAAAACAAAAAGTAGTTTTGAACGGGCTTCAGCGTACCTTTAGGTGGATCTTTACAGGCTCGAAATGAACTCACCTGAAAACCATACTCTTTGGGAAGGTTAAGAGTGCAGGCCGGTGTTTCCACCGCTAAAGTCCACCTCCAGATGCAAACTTTCTGTAAGTGATGGCAGACAGAGGAGAGTGAGAAGATTCCTGAAGGGTACTGGAGGAACCTACACCTCTTGTGGAAAGCCAGTGACCTCCGCTAACTAAGCAAAGCACAGTGAGCTAAGCCGCAGGCAGGGAGCCCCTGACCGGTCACCCGCCCTCCACCCAGAGAACCACAGACGCCACATGGCCTGAGCAGGAGCCCCTGACCGGTCACCCCCCTCCACCCAGAGAACCACAGACGCCACACAGCCTGAGCACAGCTGCTTGCGGGGACACTTGTGACGGGCGGGCCAGCCGCTGAAGCTGCCGTGACAAGCCCTGTACCTGGATCTCAGCGTCTGAGATGGTCGCCAGGTACTTGGCATCGTGGGTGATGGCCATGGCCCTGATGCCGCCACCTTCTGGGCAGCTGTCAAATATCGTGTGCACAGGAATGCTGCAAGACAGGACGGGGGACACCCAGGTCAGGAACAGAACAGCTACGGAGAAACAAACGTGGTCCACCCACATGATGGAAAGTTGCTCGGCCATAAAAAAGGAGTGAAGCACTGACACAGGCGACAACACGGATGAACCTTGAAACCATGGTGCTGAGTGAAAGAAGCCAGACACCAAAGGCTACAGATTGTATGAGTCCATTTATATCAAACCTCCAAGATAGGCAAATCCATAGAGGCGGAAAGCAGGTGCGTGTTTTCCAGAGGGTAGGGGAGCGGGATGTGAAGGCTGATGGTTTCAGGGTTTCCTTCTGCGGTGAAGAAAATGTTCTGCAACCAGATAAGAGGCGGTGGTTGCACCACACTGTGCATATACTAAATGCCACTGGGTTGTTCACTTTAAAATGGTTACTTTTATGTTATGTGAATTTTACCTCAAATTTAAAACAAAAACTAACTCAGGGCAGCACGTAAACATGCTATTTGTTCTCTCCTGGAGCTCTAGTCTCTCCTTCATTATCGAGTGCTGATTCTGTGCCAGGCGTGAAGGATGAGAACATGAAACAAGACGTCTAGGACACCATCCTAGCTCTCAGGAAAGCCGAAGTCCTCCTCCAGAAGGGGGAGTGTAAACAAGCACAGGCTTTCTCGACAGCACCTTCCCTGCATCTGTCAAAATCCTCAATGCACAGACCCTAAGACTCGCCAATTCCACTTCTACAACTTTTTTTTCCCTAGAGAAATAATAGCAAAAGTAAACAGAGATAAATGCCAGTTCATGTTTATTGTGGCACTGCTTTAATAGCAAAAATCTGGAAACAACATAAATATCCATTAATACGGGATTTGTTTAAAAAATATCATGGTAAACCATACAATGAAAAAGCATGCCACCTTCAAAATGAATGAGGTGGATTTGGGAAAGTGACCAAAGTTTTGTGGAAAAAAGCAAATAGCAAAACAGTAGACGTAGCATCATCCTGAGAGAGAGAGAGAGAGAGAGACTGTGTGTGTGTGTGTGTGTGTGTGTGTGTGTGTGTGTGTGTGTAGAAAAAAGTCTGGAGGAATGAACTCCAAACTACATGGTGACTCTGGATATAGGTTTGGGTGAAGGGGGACTTACTTTTTTTTTTCTTACACGTCTGTATTGTGTCACTGGCAAGACTTTAGAACTGTAAGATGCAGACAAAGCCTTAACACACGCAGAATTTAATTAGATGATATCTGAATACCTGAGAGAGCCAAAGAAATGCAAGAAACAGCTGAAGCAATGATGGAAGTAAGCTGTGATGTGGTGGGGGTCCCTGACTCCCACTGGAAGAGTGGGTGGTAGGAAGACTTAATCCCGGAACGCGGGCTATGCAGACCCCCCGTTGGTTTTTCATTATGGAGACCTTGTTACAGCAAATATACACAGGCCTCAGCATGTCACACAGGCCTCAGTATGTCACATCGGTGTCCCAATTGGCTGGAACCAAGTCTGTGCCCTAGCTGAGGACCTGTCTGGTTCTCTGTCACTTGAGATATTTTATCCCACTGAGACGTGGCCCCAAAAATTGCCTTGGGAAGGGAGTCCTAAAGTTGTTGGGAATGACATAATGACGTTCTTCGTGGGAAGGTGTATCTCATCCCCAGGGATATTTAGAATTAAATGCAGAGAAGATAAGTCAGTTGGACCTGTACTCTTAACATATTTGTGATAAGAGAATTTGTTCCTTTTTTTAAGAATGGGTCATGTTTAAGAGAATTTAACATATTAGAGTCTCTAACAGATTAATTTGTGATTCTAATTGAAAGTCTGTAGTTGATTTAGACTTGTGATTTTAAATTCAAATTGTATTAGGTTTATAAACAATACTTGAACACTTAAGAGAACTTAGGACTTGCCATATTTATGTCTAATTTATTAGATTTACAAGAATTACTTAAGTACTGGTGAAGGATTTATTTGTTAATCAGACTACTAAAGAACTTAAAGATGAAACTGAATATATCAATTTCTAAATGCAGTTTAAAATGTTTAAAAGGAGTTAATAAAATTTGTGAGACCAAACATTAATCAAAGCCCCCTTATAGGCAATTGCAAAAATAGGCTAGATTTACGGAGTAAGATTTAAGTTGAACTAATATCTCAAGGAAGAAGTACCGTTTATCACTTTAATAAGGTGAATATTAATTCTAAAAACAGAGAATCCTTTCTGGGTTCCCAGAGTCATCATTTGCAATATCATAAAACTCATATCGACATATCATTTTAATTGTTAACCACAGATACACTTCACTTTGTAATTTTAAAAAATGACTGCCAGAGTCACCTCCGGTCTAGTGGGGGAGACAGCTCTATAAACAAGAAAAAAGCAAAGGATAAACACTGTTTGAATGGAGGCCAGCTCTGCCTGGGGCAGGGGAGCTGTCAGCAAAGGCTTGAGAGAAGAGAGGCACCAGAGGGGCCCATCCTTTCTGCCTCAGGACTTCCTGATGCAGGAGATGACTTTCCCTCGTGTGTGTCAGGTGGATGTGCCATTTCTTGCAGCTGAAAAGCATGTAATCGCTAGAGATGACCGCTAGGCAAGCAGAAGGGAATTTGATTTCGTGGGGGAAGTGTTCGCATGGCTAGGATGTGAGCGTGTACTCCCTGTAACAAGGGCTGAGCTGACAACGGGCAGCAGGGGAGCCCGTTAGGATTTTGCGCATGGGAAAAGATCACGCTCAAAATGTTGTAGAGAAAAACCATATGATGATATATGATGATGGCCATACATGTGTATTTTTTTTTTGGCCTCGAGGCAGGCAGGATCTTAGTTCCCTGACCAGGGATCGAACCCGTGGCCCCTGCAGTGGAAGCACGGAGTCTTAACTACTGGACCACCAGGGAAGTCCCCTTACACATGTGCATTTAAAACAACATCAGGGGGCTTCCCTGGTGGCGCAGTGGTTGGGAGTCCACCTGCCAATGCAGGGGATGCGGGTTCGTGCCCCGGTCCGTGAGGATCCCACGTGCCGCGGAGCGGCTGGGCCCATGAGCCATGGCCGCTGAGCCTGCGCGTCCGGAGCCTGTGCTCCGCAGCGGGAGAGGCCACAACAGTGAGAGGCCCGCGTACCGCAAAA